TTGTGCAAGTCAGGATAGAGTATCACAGACTGTTTTACTGCCCAAGTTCTTGATTGGCCAAAAGCACCTTGATTGACGGTATGGAAAGCGGCTCAAAGGCCTGGGTCTTCAAATTGGGCCCAAGGAAGTGTGTGGCGGATGATCCACATGACTAACACCATGTTCAAGAGATCTACCGTTAATGTTTTTCCACCAATAAAAGATGACAAAATGCCTTTGTTGTTGTTTTTGTTTGAATCTTGCTTTTCAATGTAAGAAGGTGGAAGAGTAAGTTGCACAGAGATGGCCTTGTGACACATATTGCAGACAGGATGGATGGCGCTGCCAGATGAAGTACAAGACCTTGTCTTTGCCACCTTTGAACAATTTCTAACACCATCTGCATTTGAATTCACGACCCTAGATGGTTGAAATCATGGGGTAGTCTTGCATATGGATGTGAAGGGGAATCTAGAGACTGAAGCAATAAAAATGATATATTGAGAATCTAGGACTTACTATGGGTTCATGAAAGAGCTTGAGAAGTTCCTTCACTTTGAGACTCCAAGATTTTTTGTATCCTGGTTTGTTGGAGCCAACCACCTTGATGTCAAACTCTTGAGACACGTCCATGGATTTGGGAACCTTGTAGACCTGATTACAACAAAGAAAATTAAGCAAGAAATTAGTGTATGCTTACATCTATTGCATATTGCTGGTATTGTATAGGTGACCCACCCAATGAAGCAGCTGAGCATGACCAAGATCCTGCATGTTGGCTAGTTGAAGAAAACACAGCTGACGGTGATCTGGCACCCTTGCTAGTTGAGGAGCAAGGCTAGAAATACATATACAATTATTGACTGTGAGTTCTGCAATCTTGATGGTAGATTGCATTCAACAGTGACTTACCCTTCCTTGAAAACTTGGTTTAGCCTTATTCACAGTGGCTGATCTTGAAGCCTTATTGTGTTCCACAGCTGATGGTTGAGATGATGCATGTTGATTTGTAAGGGGCCCAGGAATCTCATCAATGAGTGTCAATGCACAACAAAGTGTGGTACAAGAGTTTTTTGGAGTAATCACAAACCCTGGCTGGGTTTATGAAGGGCTAGGTGGCCAAAGATTCCTAGTGGATGAACTACCCAGGACTTGAAGCTTTGGGAAGAGCTTTGGGAAAGGTTCTTGGCAAGCGGCATTTTGAAACATTGACAAGTATCCAAAAGATTACTTAGTGTATGGAAATCTAAATGCAGACCTTATCTTATATACAGGAGCCATTAAACTAGATGACCCACAGGTCAGCCGCAGGTGCAATGTTGTCCAGGGACGTTTGTTGAGTGGTTGAGGATCTGTACCAGTGCCGCATGCCATTTTGGGTCATGCGTATATGTATGGTGGTGAAGGAGGTTTTAAAAGCAAAGGGGACAATGGGTTTCCATACCACTATATTGCGTATATAGCAGTCCAACACTGAAATTTTGGTGTGGGTTTCCCAAGCACTGAGTTTCTTGAGCCCGGGTTGTGCAGAGCCTGCACCACTACATATTGTGGTACCATTGTGGCACCAAAAGGTGCTACACAACCACACCACAATGCCTATTTAGTGCGCAGATCCTGCGGTATTGGCTCAGGTGATCAGGCTGTTTTGCTCAAATTTTCCTGTACATTGCTGGAGAATGCTCATTTCCATCTTGGATGAGTAGTCTTTGAGCTCAGTCTCTCATCTGATTACTCAGAATCACTTCATGAGTCACTGAAGACTCAGAAAAGCTCAGAACCTTGTCCAAAATCCTTGATCAGCAGGCTCCAAGGCATGCCACTGGGGATTGGCTGAGGGGCTGAGATGAAGGGAGCTTCCTCAGGCTTCTTTGCTAAGAGCATCCACTATGGGTGTGTTAATGATGTGATTTAGTGTTACAATGACACTAAAATCCAGACAGGTCCACTATGGACCTGTTTTAGACATGCGGTCCATATGACTGTGTCAAGTCTTGCAGTCCGCTTGTTCAAATCTACAAAAGCCTACAACTTGATTCATTGTAAACTTTTGGCACATCAAAACAGTCAACAGCCATCCATCCAGCTCTACATCCAAGACTTCCATTTGACCACTACCCTCTGACCTCAAGATACCAACAGATCAACAGTTGATCTACCCTCTGAACCCTCCAAATCATGTTGAGCTTGTTTTTTCAAAAAAAGTGAGCTCGCACAATTGATTTTACTCAAGTTAAGCAAGGCAGTCTTGTTGCCAATACTCAACATATGAAACCTGCAGTTGACAGGCATCAATCTGCCTGGTCACAAGAGCAGTCATTGGTGAGGAATGAGTGGATGAGGTGGGTAAGATATGATATTTTGATCGGTGATTTTGCCCCTGTGGAGTTGATCAAATTACCTTGACTTATCGTTGGTAAATCAGATGGTAAAGCAGCTCATAGTAGATTTCATGCGTTTACCATTTCAGTTGTTACACGCATGATTACATTTTGCGCTCAGGAACGCAAAACTTACGATAGAACACCGTCATGATAGTGAATGCTCTAAGGAATGAAGCCTAAGGAAGGCCTAGTTCATCCTCTCAGTTCCAGTTGATCATATAAAAACTGAGAAGCAGGAAGAAAACAGGAAGAAAATTGAAAGAATTTGGAAGTTAAATTGAACAAATCTTGAAAAAGTGAGAAAATTTCAATGGTCACCCCACACTGCCAGCATTGAAGAGGTTCCCAGATGGGAATATGGGCTGTAGGGATCAGACCACCATTTTAATATATGTAATCACAAAGGCTGTCTGATTCCTATGACCCATATCCCCATCTGGGAATTCTTTAATGCTGGCAGTGCCAATGTGAGCAGTTATTTTTGCCCCTGTGATTGTGGTTTACAGGTGATTTTAAGAACTTGGGAAAGTATTTTTACAGTCAAAACATAAAAGCTTTCCCGGTTTGTATTTTTTTTGTGGTTATAAAAATTCAAACTTGACCTCCCTACTGTCATATCTGTAAACTGATTTTGGACATTAGGGTGTTTCAAGTTAAAGTTTTTATGTATTTTCATGTTGCAAAAACTTGACAGTTGTTGTGAAACATGTGTAAGTTTTTTCAAGTGGGAAAAAAGGTGTCCTAAATTAAAAATAAGGGGTTTCAACTGTGAATTGTTCATATGTTTCTTTAAAAATTTGATCAAGTTTAATTTAAATTTCTAAACTTGACCATTTGTAAAGAGAGCATTTTTTTGTATAATCAAACAAAACCTAACCAATGGGATACCCAAGCTTTTGATTAGAGCTTAAGCTTGGAATGACAACTGCTTGTTGACCAAGCAATGCACTTATATGCCCACCAGACCCATCTGAAGGTCTCAAAACCAACCCAAAAATGGATTCAAAGTAAAATTGGCATTGCCGTAGATGAAACCACAGATATTGATCAAGTCAAGGGTTGATTTGTCACAGAAAAGGCTTGATCTGTCACAGTCAAAGGGTGATATGTTGCATACATAAAGTGAGTTGTCACAGCCAAATAGTTGAGTTCTGCATGGGTATATTCCAATGTTGCAATTGAGCCCTGCGCAAGATGGATGTTGAAGGACACTGTGGTTTGTTGCAGCCAAATTTGGCTTGTCACAGTCCGGGCATGTGTAGTTACCAAGGCAGCAACACCGTGTTGAAGCCCCAAATGCAACACCACATTGCATCCAGTGTGTGTTTCTTTGATCACCCAATTCATCTTCTCCCCAAATAGTTTCTCTGTTTGCATATTTTTTTACAAATTTGGACAAGTCGTTCATAAAAAAATCTTTGTAGAACCAATGTATTAAGAGGTTTCAAGTTTTGATTCTTATGTATTTATACGTCTTGGAAACTTGCTCTTTGTCATCAATTTTACGTAAAATAATTTTAAAACAGGTCACCTTTTTACATCTGCCATTTTGAAAGTAGTGGAAACATACACGGGGAAAAAGAACATCAAAAACACACTTCATCATCTGCCAGCCAAGCTTACCTATTAAAAATCCATCTAATACAAAATATACAACCCTCAAAAGACTTTCAAATTATAAACAAATGTTGAATAGCCATGTGTATCCTCAATGTTGAGGGCCAGCCTTGTTTGTATCCCCAGTAACAACAAGACATGCTCAGTTTGTCCTCACAAGCATTTCATAACATCAGCATAAGCAGCAGTTCCTTGACCAATATGTTTTGTTACAGGGGTTTGACCAAAGGGATAGCTTTGAAAGACTTGTGGTTTTGGTTTGAAGTGCACCCATTTTTTGTGGTCAGACTTCTGTAGTTAGCAAGGTGGGAAGACTAGATAGTACAGGTAGTTTGAGGAAATAATTATCCAACTATAGATGGACCAAACGAGTTATTTGACATCATATTTTTGATAAAGCACCTAAGATGCCATATTCTGATGTAGTGCAAACAACTATGTATGTCCTTGCCTATCTCATTTGAAGACACACTGACTGGTCTCAAGAAGCTACAGCATGTCTTACAAGTCCATTAAGGAACATTGAATGTCTCTCTGTTAACACAACTACCAGAGCAGTGGACATTTGAGCTCATAAATTCATTTCAATCAGGTTGAGAGGCACATTGGCTCAGCACAAAAGACAAAGTCCAACAGACAAGTTTGGACTATATGTACACATAACATTACTGCTTGGGATAAAACTGAAGTGTGTTACCTTGCAGTAATCATGTGTAATTGCTACAAGTAAGTACGGTGCAATAAAGAAATTTATGTTGGCTTTTTCAATTCAAGGTATTTTTTGTTGCAAAACAATACTTCAGGGAAAAATTTCATAAGAGGCACAAGTTTTAGCAGCCAAATTAAAAAAACCTCACAGGCCAAAGTATGCCTTCTTGCTGTAAGTCCTTTGCTGCACTCAAAGCGTGTGGGATGTTTTGTTCAGTTTAGTTGGTGCTGCTCTCAGAACATTGGCAGGGTTGCGCAATAAAACAGCCGCTATTGGTAAGGGCGCTTCACTCAAGCAATTTCTTGATAGACATGTCCCAATTCACACACGCAGGTAGGTGCCCAACATGTATACATGACCCCAAACCGTCAATGAATGTGACATCTGTATAGTATTCTGCAGACCCCTTCTCAGCCATCCAGAATATATCTAACCCAATTGGTCCCACCCACCTCCAGCCAATATCACTTCCTGTGCACCACCGGGATGAACAGTTCCGCGCCGGAGGAGGCCACAGCATTGGGCATTTCACTCACGGAATGATAGATACATAACCAGGCAATAATGGTGTTGAATTTATTTTGATCACATCTCATTCAGGTGGGAGAGTGGATAATAATTTAGGTGAGTGCAAAGATGAATTTGATCTTATAGCTATTGTCTTCCCGTGGATTATACAGGATGTATGGTATGTGATTGAACTTACCATTTTGTTGGCAATTATGTTCGCCAAAGCGTCTTGGTGTGGGATCTGTCACGGCATGAGGATGAGCGCCGCTCATTGGTTGGCAGTCCTTCCCGGAGCTAGGAATCAGGATGCGCGTTGTCAAGTTGTTGTTTTGTCAGTATGTGGGGGACTCTAATCATGGAGGGAATTCGACAGGTCTAGCGTCTAGCGGAAATCCGCCAAGTTATTGCACGACCCTTCTATACTCCCGATGCTCTGGAGATGAGATTACTCGTGATGAAAGCGTGAATCCGCTTCTGCCAAGGGTATTTCGATGTAGACTTATGTAGATCATTCAAGGGTTGGATGTTTGATTCAATCGTCTTGTGATTTTTGATTTTCAACCCTGTGACTATCTTTAGGCACTTTTTTGGTGCAACTCGCAAGGTACCAAAGTGCAAGATCGACGACAAAGTAGTCTACTCTCTTTATAGAGACACGTCTAGCTCCTAACTCTTCTCCAGGTTCATCCCTGAATAAAAAGCGTAAACTGTCCATCACGGGATTTCTCTTCAAAGTTTGTTCTTGGAAATTCGTATGGTGAATGAAGTACATGGCGTGATCAAAGATTGGGCAATATTATGAGACTAACGAAGGATATCTGCACATCAAGACTTCTGTTAGAAGCTTTTCATCAGTCACTCTCTTGATTAAACCGTGGACGTCATCTTTTGAATATGGGGTCTGTGAAGTCTGGTCATGTGTGCTGTGATCCATGGAGAACTGGTGGTGGGCTGATGAGGTCATCCAGTCACCTTTGAACTACGTAGTCCATCGAACCTTTGTGATGACTCGCAAGACGCAGAGCTCTCATCATAACTTTGATCACTAACGTGATGAGCGTCTAATATTGCTGTGATATTTCAAGCCAGACATCATAAGATAGATAATTAGCGTCTAGCCTATAGTCGCTAGATCATCTTTACCTTGCCTTTGGCACTCAACGGACATGGTCCAGCGGGTCCGAGGAAGGCCGAGTGGAGTGTAAAATCAAGCCCATAAGTAGAAAGATTACTACAGGCTTTGTTTCGGGTTTGAGATCTCTCGGAATCAGGCCGGCGTGTTGTTTAATATTTACTTTGCGGATAAAAAATCGGATGAAGCGAAGGAAGACAGACTAAAGACAGATGCTCTACATTTGATTTCACCGAATCTGATTCTGACTCATCTACAGATTATAGATACAAGAGAGATGTGATTCATCTGACCTCCGCTTATGCTTATTTCTTACCACGTTATGTACATTAGTGGCTCTCAAACCTGACCCAGTTTCAAAAAACCCGGTTGCCCCAGTTGAATTTTTGGCTGGGAGCTGTCAACAAATGTCAACTTGATACACAAAGTTACTGCCAAAAAACAACTGGGTCAACTGGGTTTTTTGAAAACCGGGGCAGGTTTGAGAGCCACTATTGTGGGGTTGAAGTCAAGCACAGATCCTTGTGCTCATTGATCAATTAATTGGAGTGAGGATTTATACCCGATGTCATCCAGTGACTCTTCTAAGACTCTTTAGTGACAAGAATCCTCACCTTTGTGATTAGAGGGCTCCAATATTCCGGAGGGTACTTGGTCAGGTGCTTAAGCGGCTTCATGGTTCTCGAAGTTACTATTGAGCAAGAGATGATCAATCATCACGCGGTTCCATGTATCATGGGTGATCAAGCTAGATTTGAGGACCCATAGATTCCAAATGACGAATACAAGTTCACAAATCTTGGGAGCGGTGATATAGTGCTAGCTCAAACAGGTCAGTAAATCACGAGGCCTCTTCTAGACAAGATGTTGAATAAGCCAATGAAGTCGGCGGTACATATCGTCTTTCATTATTGCAGACACCCGAGATTGCCCGAGTTCTCGGCACAGTCTCAGATCTCAACATGAAGAAACGTTGGAGCATGTTCTGAGAAGAAGATAACGGAGATGAAGAACAATAACCTTTTGGTATCCTAAGACGATGAGCTTTTTTAATGATGGACAGTTCGATTTTCCTCTTGATCAACGGGTTCTCCGAATTTACGGGGATCTATGAAAAGAAATTGCTGAGACTGAGCAAACACCCAAAAATTGATGAATCTAACTTTAAGGTTAAAATTTAGTCAAAAAGCCAGGTGTACATCGGGCCAATCCTCCGAATCAGTGACATGTGTGTATTACATAAGTTAATTTAGGTTTCGGTTTCGGTTCCTTCCATCCAGAGAGTGGTGATTCGCGGATGTATGTATGCGTCAGAACGGTCAAATGGGTTCACTTCACCCTTCAAAAGAAAATCTATAAAAGGCCAATCCAACCAGATTATATTTCCAAGTTTCCATCAAGATCTTAATTAATAAAAACAGTCAACTTTGCAATTCACCAGCACTATTTCATCGCCTGACTTTTTCTTCCTAGCTGCTGCCGTTTCTCCCAACTGTTGGGCTTCATTGCTGCCTCAAACTATTGTCGTCGAGTCAATGCACTCAAAGTTACCGACTCCTTTGGACTTTTCAACTCCCAATTCTCCATCAACAGATTCATCACCTTCCGATTCACCATCAAAACCTATCTTACCGCTCGATCAACGAATAGCCTATGTCGAACATGAGCTAGCTGGCCAATCTCCGATTTCATCCGCTTTTGATCCTCCCCGAAAGTCTAAGATTGGTCTATTGGCTAACATCAGAAAGAACCGTTATGTGTTGAATTGCGCCTTATTTGCGAGTTTGGGTGGTATTCTGTTTGGCTATGATGTATGTTCCCGCTTCTCCCCTCATTTTTCACCCCGGCTTCTACATTTCTGTCACATCTGGACCCCTTTTTTGATGACTGATTCCTTTGTTTATGCTTCATCAGCAAGGCGTGATATCTATCATTCTCGTTATCCCTCCATTTACATCTCGTTTTCCTCGAATTGATCCTACCCTTGGCTCACATACAGCAAGTTTTTGGAAAGGCTTTTTGGTCAATTACCTGTTTGTATGCTATCACACCTATTTAATCATCTCATCAAACTTCTGCCTATCCTTTTCTAGACCGTAGCCATCGAATTTGGAGCCATACTCGGTGTTGCTTTAGCTGGTTTTACGGCGGACAAATATGGTCGTAAACATGCAATAAGAATGTAAGTTCAATGTCTACGCATGTACTCTACTCATCTGTGCCATTCCTGTTGGTATAGCCGCAGTCACTGGTATGAAATTCTTCAAACATGTAACCTTTGAACCAAACCTTGATCGGGTTTGAATTGACACTATATGCCTTCCCCCACCTCTCATTTCTCGTCCATTTTGCGCATGTGACACATAGTGGAGTGACATTCTTCATCTTGGGCTCCATCATACAAACTGCTGCCCATGATTATGCCATGCTTGTGATCGGTCGTTTTCTCGGTGGAATCGGCATTGGCACATTGTCAATGACAGCTCCAATGTGAGAAGCTACGAAATGCCTTTGATTACTCCAATCAAAAATAAGCTTTGTCTATATGTGACTCAGTTGAATTACACCACAGGTATATGTGCGAAATCAGTCCTCCTGATGTTGGTATCTTTCATGTCATATCTCTAAATGTTTGGATGTGTTGCTAATCTCAACTTGAGTTTTATGTTACAGATCAGAGGTGCTTTATTATGTCTCGAGGAGTTCAACATCGTCGCTGGGATCGTCATTGCTTTTTACATCACGTAAGTTTGCCCGTTAAGTTTGGACTTTGTAATATCCTTTTTTACAACATGCGCAGTTTGATTTAACCATCTGTTTTACCTTGGGAAAAGTTATGGCACCCGCTTCATAGTTACCGAGCTGTCTTGGCGGTTACCTTTTGGCCTCCAAATGTGAGTCGAAAGGATGTAGTGAAGATCACGGTGAAAACAACTTCATGATTGGTTGCGATCATGAAAACGGGTGATTCCATATGCTCATCTGTTTTACACCTTCGCCACCTAGATTACCCGCCCTCGTCATTCTGTTTGGCCTCTATCAACTGCCAGCTTCTCCGCGTTGGCTGGCCAATCAAGGTCGATATGAGGAAAGCTTGATTGTTATTTCAACCCTTCGACAGCTACCAGTCGATGATTGTACGGTACGCAAAGAATGGATGGATATGCGTGTTGAAGCTGAATATCAGCGCGAGATTCAAAAATCTCGATATCAAAATTTGGCCTCTAAACATGCGCCATCCCACATGAGTGGCGACAATGAACGTTATGCTGAGAGCATTGAACCAGCCCAAGTCTCATCAGTATGGATGGATATTCGCTTTGAGTGGATGAGATGGGGTGATACCTTTCGACATGGATGTTGGAGGCGTACCATGGTGGGAGCAGGCGTGAGTCATTTTGCACCAATGTGCTTATCAAATCAAACATCCGTTTTTAGTGTTTCAATCGGTCATTCGACACTCCTGCTACTCTTCAACCATTGAAATTTGACCTGACTTGACCGCTTTGCCTGTTTTTACTGTCAAAATCAAAGCTGATGTTTTTTCAACAATTTGTGGGTAAACTTTTTCGATATCATGAAATTACAAACAGTCTTTCTGTTAGTACTTCGATATACGCCATACTGACTCCCTCGAGAACTTTAAACACCCGGTAGGTTGGTATCAACGTACGTCAAATCTGGTTGTTTGACTCTTGCGTCTCACGTGTTGTTTCACTTTCATCAGTGGATACGAGTGAAATGTCCAATCATATAATCTCATGTTGCATTTGAATACGCTTGGTCCCCTTTCATCATCTGTCCTCACAATTTGACTCTAGGCATTAATCTATTGTCAGTTCTTTCAATCCCATGTTGATATTCTCTTGTTGACAGGAAGAAACTCGACAAACCCATTCCTCTTTCTGACAAATGTTACACACTTTGCTTACATACTGTGTTCAAACAGACTCGCCGACATTATTTGCAACTCTTGGTCTGGACTTTGAAAGTCGCTTGACAATGAGTGGAATCATGAATGTTTGTCAACTTTTAGGTGTTTCAATGTCATTCTTGATAATGGATAAATTGGGGCGTAGACCTTTATTATTAGCTGGTAGTGTTGCCATGCTGGCTTGCCATGGTATGTTTTATTTTATGTCTTTACAACTTTCTCAATTAGATCTCTCATATAAGCTACACAACTTTTCTCATCATCAGCTATAGTTGCCATCCTCGTCGGAAAATACTCAGGAAACTGGGCTGAACATCAACAAGCGGGTTGGGCTGGAGTTACCTTTATCTTTAGTGAGTTCCGGCCATCATATCCGAAGCCGCACTAAATAGCTTCTTCCAGCGGTTGATTTTTGACATCCGGTGTCCATATCCAGTCTATATGATCTCGTTTGGATTAAGTTGGTATGTACAACCTTTGAATTCAAAACCATCAAGCGACTTTACTATCGTGGTCTAAGACAAGTAGCTAATTTTACCCATCGTTTCAAACATCATAGGGGCCCAGTACCCTGGGCGATACCTTCTGAAATCTTTCCATCTTCACTTCGTGCCAAGGGAGTGGCAGTAAGCACAATGTCGAATTGGATTAGTTGAGTCTTATCTTATCTTCAAAATCATTGTCAACTATGAATCATAGAGAGTTCCTTCTGTAGCTACGACTTTCTCCATGGCTTACTAATTGGTTTCCAATTTTTCAGATAACTTAATCATCGGCTTGATTACCCCACCAGTTTAGTTCGAACTCATTCCACAAATTCCATTCATATTCTACAATTCGAGTGTCACACATAGCTGATACATGGATGTATCCTTCATTTTTTTGATGCCCAGTTGATTGAAAGAACGTAAGCAAGTTTCATCTAATCTAACGTCTTCTTGACTATGATGTTTCCCTTTTGCAGTGAAACTGTCATCAGTATTGAACCCGTTTTTTCCCACTTCCTTTTACAATAGAAATTCAGGAGCGTTCATATTCTTTGCAGCAAACTCAGCTTTATCATTCGTGTTTGTATGGTTCTTTGTTCCCGAAACTGCAAATCGATCATTGGAAGTTGAGTCCATGACTTTATTCAATATATTGAGATTTTATTCGGATGGAACTAATCCAATTGTAAATGACTCGAAATCGATAGGATATGGATCAAATCTTTGGAGACTCTAAAGGAAATGTAGAGGAAATGAAGAAGAGAGAGTTGTATGAACAAATGATGTTGAATGAACAGATTAGGGAATAAGTACAAGATAATTATGTATATACGCATTTTACTTCGTGGTTGCCTTGTATATGATTGAGCAGGTTCTTTTTGTCTTATAATTTCTTGTCATGAAAACCTTTTTTCGAACCTTTCATTTTGAATGTTTCTTATTGAGGTAGAATTGTCTATATGTTTCTTTACATGATATCTTGTAGCAGAGTCAAGATTTCTTCATGCAATGTGTTTTCTTTCTTTTTTTCTTCGATGTATGATTTTATAAGATGGCGATGATTGCAGAAGAGGTTTTTGTAAAACCTGTATTCTATTACATCAGTGTACATACATGTCATTATCTGTCTCAAGCAAATATTTAAAGATGTGAATTTGTAGCTCTTGTGCATCTTCTTCTTTTTGTTGACCGACAATAAGGCATAACGAGCATATAACTGTTCAGACGCATTAGAAGATGCCGCGTTCAAAAGAAACAAGATGAATAAACTCCAGTCAAGTCGAAGATCACATGAGTGGCGAAGAACAAGAGGTAGGAGTGACAGTGTGATGAATTGTAAGTAAAGAGAGCATTCAGAAGTTGTTCCTGATTTCTATGATTATGTATCCTATGAGACTAGAGTCACATAGTCAAATTTTTAGTGAATTGCTTGAGTAAAGATGCTGTGTTGGGTTTGAAGTTTTAATCGATTACACAACAAACCACTTTACCATTCTCCTTCTCTTTCTTCTCATCCTCTCTTCCCTCTCATCATCACTCATTCTCATTCTCATTCTCATTGACTTTCTAAGTTTCATCGTCAACTTTCGTCCATCCACCACCATCATCATCAATCAATCCATCAGTCAATCAGTTCATCGGTCAAATCAATCAATCAATCAATCGGTCAATCAATTCACCTCATCATGACTTCAAACACTTCAGATCCTGTCTCACTTCATAATTTAACTCAAGTCTTACCAAATCGAACCGCATCTCAATCTATTTTATCAATCCCTTCCGAAGATTTAATCCTGTCAATCCTCAATACCCGATATCGTTCGGAACTTAATGATATTTATATTGGTCAAGCTACTTTACTTCATATTAATCCACTAGGTCCTACTACAGATCAAAATGACGAATCAGCACGTTCTTATCTCAACATCGACCCCTCTTCACCTTCTAATCCTCCTCATCTCTATGATCTCGCTTCTCGTGCTTTCTACACCATGCGTCGATCTGGAAAGACTCAGGCAATTGTCTATAGGTATCTCATCTCCTCTTTCATTTCACTCTATAACTTCAACACTAATCTGTTCCTCAATATCCATCGTTTTCACAGTGGCTTGTCGGGTTCCGGAAAGACGACCAGCATGTCACTCATCAGTAATCAGCTCATCCGTTTATCCGATCCGCTTGGGTCCAATTCTCCTAGCGGTAATGCAAAACCGGCTGATAAGCTTCAAAGACAACTTCCTCACTTCTTTCACCTTCTCAGTTCGTTTACTCAGGCAAAGACATATCAGAATCCAACTGCATCACGTATCTCAACCATGTTTGAGATCCATTTCGATGATCTTGGTCAATTGGCTGGTGCAAAAGCTTTAGTCTTTGGTTTTGATAAAACTCGGCTTCGGAATCCTCTTCGATCATCTCAAGATCGAGCTTTTGATGTCTTCTACCAGTTGATCGCTGGCTTTAGTCCCAATGATGATCCTAGCCTTATTCATCTCATGCCCCAACCCTCTGACTATCAGTTACTCGCCTCCTCAGGTTGCTATCGGCTCGCCGATCGTCCTGATGCTGATCAAATGGCCTTTGAAGACTTGAGAGCAGCTTTCAAAGCGCTCGGATTCAAGCCAAAGCATATTCAATCCATCTTCAAGCTTCTCTCCGCAATCCTTTTGATGGGTAACCTCGAATTTGACCTTTATAATTCTCGCGATTTCCAGGATCAATCTTGCTTTGTCACCGATGTCGAAACCTTGGCCGTCGTTGCTGGACTCCTTGGCGTCACTCCTGACGATCTTACTCGTATCCTCACAAATCGGGTGCAATACATACGCAAAGAAACTGTCACTGTCTTTTTGCGTCCTGATGGGGCTCGTAGGCAAAGGGACGATTTCATGAACGCATTATATGGAATTCTCTTGGCTTATGTGATTGAGACCGCCAATCACAAAATGTTTCCAGGAGATGAGATGATTCAAGAGATCCAAAGCCAAGGTGGCAGTAGTATCATTCAGCTTGATATTCCTGGTCTTCAAGGTCGGACGGATCAATTAGATACAGCAGAGAAGCGTAAATCGGTCAATCGTAACTCGACTCTCCTTGGTCAAGCTAATTCCTTTGGTGCTTCGGGTTATGAGGAATTTTGTATCAATTATCAAACTGAACTTGTTCAAACTTGGCTTAACAAGATGAACTTTCGTGATGATCAAACTAAAGCGGTTGCTGATGGGGTTGCCCTACCAAAGGTTGAACTTGCCGATCTGGCTTCCTCTCGTCTTGAGATGCTTCGTGGTGGATCCTTAGGCGGAAAAGCTGATGGGAAGCCCGGCGGGATCATTGGTGGCCTTACAAAAACAGCTCATTCTCACAGAAAAGGAAAATACTTGAGTATTGAAGAGGCTGACAATGACGTCCTAGACGGAATGCGTTCACATTTTGCTTCACATTCCAGTTTTATCTCTCGGCCCAATCACTCTACCTCTCAATCCGTTTTTGGAATCCAACACTGGTCTGGTCCTGTCAGTTATGATATCACCGGCTTCGTAGATTCAGATCTTGCACTAGTCGATGTCGAATTCGTTAGCTTGCTTCGTAATAGCGAAGATTCATTCATCTCAAGGCTCCTCTCAGGCCCTTCTCTTGCGCTTGACCGGCATCCACTGGATCACTCTGTCATCGTAGGGGCTCAGGTCTCAAGTAGTCCGCTTCGACGACCCTCGCCAATCATCCCTACGTATCGTCACATTGACGCCAATGACACCCAGGGTGGCTCACAAGTTGCATTTGATTCAACAGTGCCTCTCATAGATCATACTACTGTCCATTCTACGTGCTCTCAAATCAATGCTACTGTTTCTCAACTTCTCTCTCATTTCAATCAGTGTCAACTTTGGCATATCTTGTGCATCAAGCCTAATGATGATTTATACGCCAATCATTGGGAAGCCGCTCGGGTACATACTCAATTGCATTCTTTCAATGTTGCAGAGCTCGTGGCACGGAAACGAGTTGAATACCTCATTGATTTCGATCCCACTTTGTTTTCTATGAGGTTCAAACTAGTCGGAAATGAGTTGTCAGATATCAGAAGTCACCTGTCCGGCGAAGCCTTTGGTTGGATTGAAGGAGAAGACTACGCAATCGGTCGTTCGAGAATTTGGCTCACGTTCAACGCATTCAAGGCTTTAGAAGATCGCTTGAGCCTCGAAGAAGGTGGTGATGGAGGTAACGCCTCTGAGAGACGACGCCGTTCAATCGCGGGCCATCTTGCGGAAGTCTCGATTCCAGATTATGGAGCCCGACGAACAGGATCCTCTGGAGACGCTTGGGGAGACCTTGGTTATCATCAATCGACTGGTAGCCGAGAAGATTTATTGAACAAAAATGGCGCTTATGATAATAATGCAAACATTCCGCAGTCACCTGGCTACTTGGACACCAAGATGCGCGACTTACCTTTTGATGCGCCTGGTGAAGCTAGACAGAGCGTTTGGGCATCCGAATTCCAGGATAAACACAATGCAAGAGGAGATGCGAACGAGAAAGATCCACGATTTATGGACGGATTAGCGAAAGATTCAGCTGCAGGTACCGTTATCGATCACGATAAGGCACAAACATTGGAAGAAGTAGAATCTAGTCGGACAAGACGGATTTGGGTTAAACTAGTTTGGTTATTAACTTTTTGGATCCCTACTTTCATGTTGAGTAAGGTAGGAAGGATGAAAAGACCTGATGTACAAATGGCATGGAGAGAAAAGGTGGCGTTGTGTATCATCATCGGATTAATGTGTGGCAGTGTCTTGTAAGTTTCCTTTTGAATGTGTCTGCTTTCATCATGCTAAAAGATGAACTTTTTTTTGCGGTGTCAAATCAGGTTTGTCATTTTGGGATTGGGTAAAATTCTTTGTCCAAACCTCGCAAAGGCGTGGAATTTGACCGAATTAGGTTATCATGCCCGAGAAGATGATTACTTTGTAGGGGTCAGAGGTGGGGTATACGATCTGACCAAATTTTGGCGTGGTCAACATTCTGATATACTTGCACAACAAGTCACCAATTCTGATATGCTTTCACTGGCTGGTCAAGATTTATCTAATTACTTTCCACCTCCTTTGAGGCTTGCATGTCCATCGATTCAATCAGATCTAGTGACGCTTCAGTACTCAAATTGGACAGCTGAGGTTCCTAATGCGGTCCACACATCGGGAGCTAATCAAGTCGTGAAAACATCAAAGCTTGCAAGTGATCGATGGTACCCTGATAGATTCTTACCATTTATGACTCCTTTCTATAAAGGACCGATTGTCTATTCTAAGAAGACACTTGCGGGACTCAGCGAAAATCGATCGATTGCCATCTATGATGGTGGTGTCTATGATCTGACGGATTATTTGTATACATACGGCCTTCAAAACCAAAACGCGCAATTTTTGTATCTTGATAAATCCATCACTGACTTGGTTCAACAACAGCCGGGTTCCGACATCACTAAGGAGATTGATAAATTAGCACTCAACGTGACAGAGAAATCGGCCACACTTGCATGTATGAAAAACGTCTTTTACCTTGGTGATACTGACTTTAGGGAAGGACCACGCTGTACGGTCGGGAATTATATTCTCTTGGCATTTACGATTGTGATTGCATTAGCAGTAGTAGCCAAGTTTGTAGCCGCCTTACAATTGGGAACCAAGAGAATGCCAGAGCTCAGGGACAAGTTTGTGATCTGCCAAGTACCTTGTTATACAGAAGGAGAAGAATCATTGAAGAAGACGATTGACTCGTTAGCCACTTTGAAGTATGATGATAAACGAAAATTGATCTTTGTGATTTGTGATGGGATGATTATTGGATCTGGAAACGATCGACCTACGCCACGAATTGTATTAGATTTACTTGGAGTTGATCCTTCCATCGATCCTGATCCTCTGTTATTCCAATCTGTCTCTGAAGGTTCCAAGCAATTGAATTATGGAAAGGTGTACTCAGGTTTGTATGAAGTTGATGGACACGTGGTACCATATGTGGTAGTTGCTAAAGTAGGCAAACCTTCGGAACGGTCTAAACCTGGCAATCGTGGTAAACGTGATAGTCAAATTATGTTGATGAGGTTCTTAAATCGAGTTCATTTTGATTCACCCATGTGTCCATTGGAACTTGAGATTTGTCATCAGATTAAGAATGTGATTGGAGTTGAACCTCAACTATATGAGTCAGTACTTTCTTTTCTATTGATCTTTTATGAATGTTGAACTGACTGAATTCTCCGATACGATCAGGTTCTTGTTTACGATTGATGCTGATACGGAAGTTTATCCTGATGCCTTGAACCGATTGGTATCTGCTGCATCTGATGATGGAAGAATTATTGGAATCTGTGGAGAGACTAAACTTTCAAATGAGAAAGTTTCTTGGTGGACGATGATTCAAGTTTATGAGTTGAGTCAATGTTCCTTTTATCCTGATATATGAGAATAAGAATGTTGAGATTTTTTGCCATCAAACCGCCACAGATATTATATTTCTCATCATCTTGCGAAAGCTTTCGAATCTTTGTTCGGCAGTGTGACTTGTTTGCCGGGTTGTTTCACCCTTTATCGCATTCGTTCTGCTGATAAAGGAAGGCCATTGGTGGTTTCGAACTTGATCATTGATGAATATGCTGAGATTCATGTTGATGTGAGTATCTATGAGAGCCCAATGTTAGTTTGTACTTGGTTTGTAAGCTGACCCTTCACCATCACTCATTCTATCCACAGACTTTACACAAGAAGAATTTGTTCTCTCTTGGTGAAGATCGATTTTTCACTACGCTCTTGATGAAACATTTCCCGCACTACAAAACCAAATTCGTCTCGGATGCAACAGCCATGACAGCCGCACCTGAAACTTGGGCCGTCTTGTTATCACAACGACGAAGATGGATCAACTCGACCATTCATAATTTGGGTGAACTGATGTTTTTGAAGGACATGTGCGGATTTTGTTGTTTTTCGATGAGATTCTTCGTCTTCCTCGATTTGGTTGGTACAATCGTCCTACCGGCCACAACCGTCTACATTGTTTACCTGATTGTGATAGTATCTACCAAACAAGCTGCTGTTCCTATCATCTCTCTCATCATCATCGGCGCAGTCTATGGACTTCAAGCGGTGATTTTTTTGCTCAAACGAGAGTGGGGTTTGATCTTTTGGTTGATAATCTATCTCTTGGCTTATCCGATCTATTCATTCTTCTTACCAATCTACTCGTTTTGGAACTTTGATGATTTCTCTTGGGGTAATACAAGAGTAGTGGTAGGAGAAGGAAAACATAAGAAAGTCTTAGCAGATCAAGAAGATGTAGCGTTTGATCCATCAATGATCCCACTGAGAAAGTTTGGTGATTATCAAGCTGCGATGTGGGAAGAAGAATCAAAATCGAACTTCGGAGGACGTAGACCTGAATCGATTGGTGGATTCAGTTTGGCCTCTAGAAATCATCTCTCACAACATCCTGGACTCGGCAGTTACAATGCTCCATCACTTCATCATTCAGGTCGTTTAGACGTTCAAAACACTGGGGATTATTATCGTGATGGTCCTAAATCGGCTTATCATTCTCGATTACCTTCTAGAGCTAGTGGACTTAATATTCGTTCGCCTTCCCATCACGGTAGTCAAGTAGGTACACCTGGGGAATATGGTGGTGGGCCACTTCCGATGATGACGGGTGGACCGATGTCAATGATGGGCATGGGAGGTGGTGGACCTGGGTCAATTGCCTTTGGGCATGCTCCGATGAGCTTTATGGGACCAGCAATGGGAGGTGTTGGGGCTGGATCCATACGGGGATCAGGTATGGATTTCATGGGTGCAGCAGGTGGTCAAGGAATGATGATGAGTGGTTACCCTTCAATGGGTGGAATGGGAGATATGCATGCTAGAAATATGAGGTAAGTTCATTGATATTTTCATTGATATTCTTCATGACACTAACTTGATGGTTTAATTTTTTTAGTATGTTTAGCATGGGAGGTGGTATGATGGGAGGAGGAGGAAACATGATGATGATGGGAGGTGGGGGTAATGGAAATATGCCTGGTGTTCCTGGATCTGGAGGAGTTGGAGCACCACAAATGAATCCAAATCCGAATCCAAGTGATGATGAAATCGTTCAGGCTATTAGATCTTATCTTTCTACTCAAGATCTAATGAGAGTCACCAAACGATCAGCTAGAGAAGCCATCTCGAATTGGTTCCCAAAGTTTGTTTTTGTTCTATTTTTTAATATTCCTCTTTTTTTAGGTTTTGAAAGCAAAGGAGACTGATCTGTTTATGTTTTGTTTTTTTTTCGTATCTCTTTAGTGCTAATCTTGGAGAAAGAAAAGCGTTTGTAAATGAAATGATTGATAGTATTTTGGCTGGAAATTGAAGAAATCTTTAGAAGATGCGAAGAGTTTTTTTTTTTGATTAGCTTTTCATTGATTCAATGATGATTAGATATGATTGGTAAAATGCAAAAGAGAATGAAAATTGATGAGGAAATGCGTTTTTGGTTTTGTGTAATGTATTTTGTCTTTGGCCCTTTTTAGCATTAAAGTTTTTTTTGTGTGTGTCTCTTCTTTCTTCCCTCATCTTTTTTTTGTGGATTTGTTTACTGTTGTTTAGCAAGGTAATCTTTTTATCTTTTTCTTTAATTATTAAGTTTGCAAGATCATTTTTGTTTTTGTTTTGTGAATTTGTGTGGATTAAAGTTTTTTCATAGTTTCTTGTGTGAAGTGATGGTTTTTTTTATGATTTCTAGAAGTTACAATTTCAAAGAGTTTATCATGATAGAGATATGGGTTAGAAGTTGAACTTTTTTTTAATTTAGATTATAAGATTAGAAATGACTTTTTTTCATTAATTACAAATACAAAATTGATTTAACTTTTCAAGTAAAAGGTTCTCCTAAAGTGTCTGATATATAGAAGTTCAGAAAGCTTTATGGAAACTTGGTATGATGAGGATTCACGTGGTTTTTACAGAGAAAAGAGGTAAAAGTAGGCAATACCAGAATTCTGACAAGGAAATTTTGAGCATGATAGATTTCTGAACCTTGTTCATCTCTACATAATCATTCCTGAGTCCCAAATCTGATGGAGCTTCATGATTGGTGTTTATTGCAGATCTTTGGTGCTTGCACTGCATTCTTCACATCTTATTCCACCTTGCAGCCACTAAGTTGCAACCAATGGGCAGTAAGTAGCTATTACCTTCATCAATCATATTGTGTTTTCTCCATCTGAGATTGGTCTTTTTACATATGATTGAATCAATGTAAATTTGGAAAAATCTGTTTTCTGGCAAAAATTCTGCTTATGGCAAGGAACATGTGCACTGACCTTCTGATTGAACACAGAGAATTACAAGATTACACTTGTCTATGACACACCTCAGTTGCATCCACCAGAAATCATTCAAAATCATGATTTGCTAATACGGTGTGTGGGCATTTAAACTGCTTTAGCCTCCTTGAATGGTTAAGTATTTTTGTCAGTTGCTGCCCAATATAAGCAACATTATAAATACATCTAATCTGATGCTTGAAAGGTGCAATAGATTATGTCAAACTAAGCATAAAAGCATATCTGGGGAGAAAGTGAACCTAATGCTTATTTTGGGAATCAAATACCATATTTGAGATATTGTATCCCAATAAATTATGGTTTTTAGACAATTGCAACAGTCTTTTTAAGCATATCAAGCTGATGTAAACATAGTTATGCTTATAGAACTGCCCCTTGTAAGCATATTTTCACAAAAGATATGCTTTTAGCCTATATGCAAATATGTCCAAATCAAGCTCCCTGCATTTGTGTTTCATCAAAATTTGGTATCTATAGCATGATATGCTTACTCAATGTGTACTTATATTGAGTTGGAACTGTATTGGATTGTTGATCATTTGGCTTCAACTCCCTTTCCCTCTGCATTTTTATGTCTCATTGTTGGCTGGTATCTTTTTCAGTCTAGCCTACACCAATCAAGTTTCCTAATACAGTCAACTCTCTCTAAGTTGATGTCTCTTGAAGTGCATAAGAATTGTTTCTACCATTTTTGGTGGAACCACAACTGAGTGTTGGCTGCATAAAATCCCTTGACTCTACATAAGGTTTTGAGCTGCCATAAGTCCATTTAACTGCATAAACGCTATGTAAAATCCAAGTTCTTTCAGGTTCTCCCTGATTCTGCATGTTTCTGCAATCCCACCAACCCTTCAGAACCGCCATACTTCATCTACCCTATCTTCATGGAAGCTTGTTTTTGTTCCATGATCATTTCTGCTTGACTGCCTTTGGTCATGTTTATACCTCCTTCCTCCCAATCAAGTCCATGTTTTTGTAAGTAATTGGTGTGTGCATGTTGAATCTCTACAAGGGAATTGACACAATGTAGGTGAGCACCAAATCTGGCTTGCAGCGCTGCACAGCACTGCAACCCTTAGATTGGCAAGTGCAGCAAAAGTCAGGCTTTCTCAAGCTCAGTAGCTTTACAGGCAGTTTGATCAAAAGATCTTGGTAAATGTCACCCAAATTCCAAACTTGTAGGCTCTCACAAAAAGAGTGCCTACATGTGTGTTCCCATAAAAAAGGGCCAAATCTTGGTTTCAGGCAATGGAATTGGCAATGTAGGTGCTTGTATGTTGTAAAAGCGCCTACATTTCAAAATTTAGATGTAGGTGCTCAAAAAGTGGCAATTATTTTGCCAAAAGGATATTGGAGGATGGGAGAACCATTTTGGGTTGAAGAAAGGATATTGAAGCTCGGAAAACTTATTTTGAGTTGCAAAAAGGATATTGGACAACAGAAAAAGTATTTTGAGTTGCACAAAAAATAACACAGGGCGGAAAAACTAGTTTGAGTTTGAGACACGATAACAGAGGTCAGGAAAATATTTCAGGTTGCAAACAGGAGATTGGAGGACTACTGAGTTGCGGAAAGGACATTGAAGGATGGAAAACTTATTTTGGGTTTTGAAAACAATAATGGAGGACAGAAGAACTATTTCAAGTTGCAAACAGAATATGGGAAGACGGGAAAGCTGTGTTGAGTTGCAAACACACTAATGCAAGACATATTTGGAGTAACAATAAGGGAGGATGGGAAAACTATCTCAAGTTGCGGAAATGATAAAAGAGGATGGAATGATTCCATTGAAAAGACAATGCAAATTGTTTTTTCTGTCCTGTAATTCTTTATTTTGGCAACTTGAAAAGTCATTCCAACCTCCATGATCCTTTTTGCAACTTGAAATAGTTATTCTGTCCTCTTTTATGGTTTTTGCAACTCAGAATAGTTCTTCTGTCCTCTGTTATTGCTTTCATAACTCAAAATTGTTTTTCCATCCTCCAATATGCTTTTCCCACCTTAAAATATTTGTCTGTCCTTCATTATTGTTTTTGCAACTCAATAGTTTTGGTGATAGTTTTCCTATCCCTCAACATATTTTTTGCAACTCAAAATACAGTTGTTATCACCAAAGCCCTCTGACTGGCTCCCTGCAAGAACAATTGGGGCAGTTGACCCGGTACTTTGGTATTTTTTATGCCATGATATTTCTTGCAAAGCCCATTTTTGGACTGTTCAGGTGTAGAGGAACCAAGAAATGGTACTCATGAACCTGTACAGCCACTTTGCAAAAAGAAATTGATCTAAGACCCCAACCAGTCAGACCACGGGCTGATTTGAGCCTGATGCAAGCCTAATACAGGCAGATTTCATGCCTTTACATAACTAGATATGTACTTAACATCATAGTTAAGTCAGATTTATAGCATAAAAACCCACAAAAAATACAAAAGTTTGCCAAAATTGGTGAAAACCCCCAAATTTTTGATTGTTTTGGTGAAAGTAGGTGTTATTGGGACCCCCTGACCAGTTGGACCGGGGCCGGCCCCAGCCAAACCAGTCAGAGGGCTTTGGTGATAACAAATGTAGCTGTTCCGTCCTTCAATATTTTTTCTGCAACTCAAGATCATTGCTACATTTTGAATTACCAATGTAGGTGCCAGCTAACTGGCCTTTTTGAATTGTAGGCGCTTATTTCAACTCCAGGGCCTGAAACCCAAATCTGGGTGCTTTTTTTGTGGGAACACACATGTAGATCTACTTGTGAGGGCCTACAAGTTTTGAATTTGGCTGGAATTCGGCAAGATCCTAGAAAAAGCTCCAAGGAAAAATTTTGGCTGAAAGTATCACTTTCCTTATGCAGAGCTTCACAGCACTGCAGGAGGTAGATGAGCCAGCTGTGGAATAATACTATTGGTGATGAGTCCAATGTCAACTTGACAATTTTCATCAACTCTGACAAATTGATCAATTTTTCTGAACAATCTTTACAGTTGAAAATTATAAGCCTGGATTTGAATAGATTTGTGCATTCAAGTAAAGAAACCAAGCAACAGTCAATCATCCAGAGAACTAAAAAGGGGTGATGACTGGGACTGACAAGTCAATGGGTCCAACAGCTAACAGTGACATACATTTTCTCAATCACAGGGGCCAAAGTTGATGTTCACATACAGGTGAGCATTGTACACTTTCCCCAATTCTCCAAAAAAAGATTGTTGTTCTTCCTTCAATTTACAATTTTGGTAGTGCTCAAGTGATCAGGCTGTTTTGCTCAGGTTTTGCTGTACATTGCTGGAGAATTCTCATTTCCATCTTGCATGAGCATTCTGTGAGATCAGTCTCTCAGATGAGTTTCAGAATTGGTTCATGAGTCACTGCATACTGAGAACAGCTCAGGACCTTGTCTGAAATCCTGGATCAGCAGGCTCCAAGGCATGCCGCTGAGGATCAACTGAGGGGCTGAGATGAAGTGAACAGATGGGCCAGCCCTCCCGTTATCAATTGATGGGTTTAGAGTAACTTGGTCTGATCTAATTGGTTGAGAGTTGGTATGAATGGCATTCCAGCTGAAAATGCTGAGTTTTATCAAATTTTTCAAAGGTATTATGAATGTTGAATGAGCTCCATCTGATACATGAGTGATCCTTTGCTCTTGCTTACAATATAGGGATTGGTGGCTTGATGTAACTGGTATTATTGAAGGTCTGTAAAAAAGATGTGCTGTGAGAATGGTGGCTGATTGGCAGCCGCAAGCACTGCACCTAGAAATGTCAGCAGAAGGCATGGTGCACACTGCACATATTGGCAGCCCTTTGGCTAACAGAGCGGCTGCGCCTGTTGTGAGCACAGCTAGCTATATGAAACTACAAAAAGGTGGATCTCACAAGGGTGCTCTCAGGAAATGTGAATTTACTGTAGTAAGATCTTTGACGTTAAAAGGGGTTTTTGGACATGAAAGAAAATGGATTGTAAAGCGGGGGCACGCCCAAGGGGAACCAGCAAACCTGAGGCAAACAAGACCTGTGATTGAAGAGGTTTGCAGGCCTGGTCACTACAATGCACCTCAATCTGGTGTCAAGCAAAATAATTCCCTGGGTATGACCGCTACAAAACCCATAGTCATTCTATTCAACTATGGGTATTCCCAAAAATTTCAAAATGTTCATCATGTGGCACTGCCAGCAGAGATTCCTTGGAGCAGAAAATTCAAGGTATCCACCTTGGATATAGATTCCCTTGGACTGCGTGTCCAAGGAAACAATCCAAGTTTTTCTTTGGACCCAGAGATTTCTTCAGATCATATAATCAGATGTTGAGTCCAAGGCTATTGCTGTTCAAGGATAGCTGGTAATCAAAGAAAGTAAAGGTCCAACAGCCAGATAGGCCTTTGAAAACCTTATCAGAAGCTTCTTGTTATACATGCATATTGATAATTGTGTTTTTGTTTCAGGGATGATGCAATGTACTTTGAAATGTGCTTATTTCCAGTCTACTTTTGAATCAATTGATTTAATCGCCTTTTATTTGATTATTGCAATCTTCAATGAATAAACGCGTTTGCCGACTGATCAGTCAAAAACACCTCCGTTTGGATGTGGACAGATGATATAGTCCCAAGAAAAATATTGTGACTATGAAGCGCATCAACATTGGACAAAATCAGGATTCAGGGATATACAAAGATCATTGAAAGTGAAAAATCGCAAGGTTCCAATACAGACAAATGATGGTACTTCCAAGTGTGATGATTTGAAAATGAAAAGAAAAAACAATTGATGAGATGATGGCAAGTTGAAGATAAGAAAAGCAAGACGAAACTAAAAAGAATACGCGAATACAGACGATGTAAACCTATTCCTACAACATATTGTCTTGTCAACCCGACCAAGGCCAACCTGCATAGGCCCCAAAGTACATAATAAAATGGTCGCGTAAAGTATTCAAAGCTCGTCTCTTGACTCCTCTTTGTCGAGCTCTTCGGTTACTCTCTGTTGAGCTGCATCCGCACGATCCTTTCGATCCCGTAAATCTTCATCATCCACCTTGTCCTGTTTCTCTTGGGTTGCAGCATGTTGAGATTGAATGAGCTTCGTACGATGAAGATGAGCAGCTTCAAGCCATTGAGTGATATGTTGGACTGTGTCCTTGCCCAGAGCCCAATACCCACTATTTTCTTTCTCGTTGAACATTGAAATATGTCTACCAGAGCGCAATCAAGAATGCAAGAGAAGAATTTGTACGATCAGTGAGCTGGTGAGGGAAGAAACCAAAAACGATACTAAGATGACTCACGCGTCAATCTCATTTTTCGCTCGAATGTTTCGATTGGCAGTAAAATGCTTTCGAATGTCACGAGGAATAGTGGAGTCCGGCAAAACGATCAAGTGGCGACTATCGGAAAATGACTTGCTTTCAAACACTTTGGGAATCTCAGTGTAAAAACTGTGGTAAAGCACATCAGCTCACCACAAAGACCAAACAGAAGATAACATTAAACGGAGCTATACCAATGGAAGTTAATCGTGGGTTGAGTATCAATCACTTCAATCACTCTCTTCTTCAAATTGTCTCCTTTCCATAATTCTCCTACAAAGTCTAGATGACTGGAAGCCCAAGTGAAATTCTCGGAGATAGCATCCTTCTGCCAATAAGATGTACCTGCAGCCGCTGCTAGACCGGCGACACCTGCAGCTGCCATACCCATCTTCCACCAATCTTTATTAGCGTTTGATGGCGCTGGTTCTTCTTTCTTCTTAGACCCACTTGGGGTAGCTTGCGATGTCTTGGTTTTGTCTTTAGATGCTTGATCGGTCGTAGAGCCAGACATCCAACCCAAAGCACCGAGACCGAGGCCCAGACCACTGGCAATTTCTTGAGCACTTTTTGCGTATTTCAGGTATTCATTGGCAGCGTTGGCGAATACTGCGGGATTGAGACCATAATAAGGAGTATCGTAACCGATTAGGCCGATGATACCAGGCCAGACTATAGTTTCGTGCAATTTGCTTGCAGAGTCTCGATCTCGGAGTAGCTTGAGAGTTGCGTCGGCTAACACTAAACCCCCCATGCTGATCTCAAAGAGCATATGAGAAAATTCAGAAAGACTATTCTGAGCTTATAACGCGTGGCGTACATGACTTAGGTTTTGCAACATACCTATGTCCAAGGAGAACAATATAGGCCTTTTCGCGTTTACCATCACCTAAACCTCGTTCCTTGCGTTCCTCTGAGACTACTGCCTCAATTTCGGACGTCTTGACTGTGAGCCAATCCAAGAATAACTCAGATGCTTTGGCCTAGGGAGAGCAAAAAATGTTGTCTTCGCTCAGTAACAAGGAGAAGAATGAGGTGATTGGTAAGGCAAGATTGTACAGACTAGAGAGCCACGGGTATCGTAGGCTGGATAAACGATAGATTCGGTCTGAGTATTGGACCAAGTCTCCGAGCAAAGAAATTTGATTCTTTCAGGAAATGTTCCAAATGTATCATCGCCACTGTTTGATTGCAAGATCGATGACATAAGCTTGAGTATACATATATGCGAATTGGAAGTTGAGATTTTAAAAATGTATTTTGTATGTACCCTTTAAAACTATGACCATGACGTCAGTGAGCATATCAATCAAGATTCGAATCTATGTTCACAAAAATGGCATACATACCCATGTAACCAGACTAAGAGAAGGATAGCAGGCGCACCGATAGCCGTGTTGATAAAATCTTGACTTGCTTGAACGAGCGACATTGATCTATACGCCAAAAGAAGTTAATGTGATGAATCTCAATCGGACCACTCATCACATCAAACCACTTTTGACTGCGTGACCTGTCTCAAGCCTGTCCAGGACATGTCAAGATATCGTTTCATCTTTCACAACCATTTCATTCATATGTATAGGCCAAGAGTCCATTTGGATATCAACATTGAACAAGTTTTGGAGTATTCCTCATCGTCTCAAAGCAAATATTTGCTCATTGAATCATCTTCATTACGACATTGATCAAATCGACGTTTCCATAACCACTTTGAAGAGGTTTGAAGAGTCCTTTTTGACTCCTTTAATCACAAATCTTTTCCACCTGTTGCATTTATTTGTCATCTTCTATCCTCATTGTTGAGATTATCTTGAAATCCTATCACTGCAATGAAATCGATTTATTGCTTGTTGTATCAGAAGCCCCCCTCTCGTTCTAAAAGCAATAAGCGTATTGTCGCTCCTCTTGATCGAAGACCCCCTCAACAAAAAAACGAGTCCGCTGAGCACGAACTGACAGTATCCAGGCTCCCGTCGACGGCCTGTAGGCCGTATAAGCTCGACCTGCAGACCGTGTTTCACAGAAAGCCTGCAGGCCGACATCTGCTGATTCAGGCTGAACCCCACTGACCTGCGGCGGACGTTCGGTGAAAAAACAGCCGGGATGTAGGCCGCCTTCGAGCCCGCCTGCGAACCGGCCTAATCTCCCTTAATCTTCCCGTGGTGTATATATTCACATATATCTCTTCTCTCTTGTGTTGGTAGATCAGAACCTAGTTTTGTGGGTGAGAACACATTTCCCCTTATAAGCAATTCGTTTTCTCTCTGGTCCTGGTAGATTAGAACTTTAACGCTAATCTTCAGCTTTGTCCCACTCTAATATTGCTGGTACAGTCGTTCTCAGAAATGTTGGAAAAATGCAAAATCTCGAGCTGAGCTCGGGGTCCGTGCGCTGAGCAGGGACACGCAGATACAAACACTGACAAAAACTTTGATTTTGACAGGTATCTCAAGATGAAAATTCGTTTACTTTCCATCATACCTCGATGACCACACACCTATCTTGCCAATGGCCAGGCTAACGGACTGATCTCTTCAGAAAAACGGTGAAAACGTATGATTTCATGGTTAAGGGATTGTAACACGAGTTGAGGATCAGAGGAAGGATGGCATAGAGAGGACACAAGGGAGTTGAGGTTGGTGAAAGGGACACTGATCTCCACTCGACAGCTGCCATGACTTTTCCGTGACACATGTCATGAAAAAGTCACCTCCTCGGGACCACGACCTCAGCTCGAGATGTTGGATTTTTCCAACATTTCTGAGAACGACTGTATCACGCGTGCTACATAGAGTACTCGATTTTAAGAATTGGTTATTCCCCTACGACGGCACCTGAGAGCGACCCTCTCCGATTAACAGCTGTCGAGGCATCGAGGGACACCCGAGCCCTCCTAACGGCCAAAAGATATTGTCTCAGGAAATTCGTCAGTTGCAAGAGATGAGAGAAGATATCTATATAGACTCTTATTTCGTTGTAATTTTTCTCCTTGTTAATCCACTTTCCTTCTTCCAAATTGAATCTACTCCAGTCAATCAGTCATCAGGGGCAATCACTTTTGTTAGCAGGATATTCACTGGTTTTGATATCGATACGAGATGATATTTCTTGCCCTAATCCTCATAATACATTTACTGGTTCTTAGTCACGCTCGTGAGTCCAATCCCCGGGCCCGCGGGCAAGGTGGCACACTTGAAAGACGCAATACCAACCAAAACAAAAACGTCATCACATGTGAAGGAGATGGAGGGCAATATGGGGGAATCATACAAGACTGCCATAAGTTAGTACTATTTCGCCTTCAGACTAATTGGATTTGTCACACATGAATCGAAGAGAATTAATTGAATTCAATCTTGCTGTTTGTACGTCATCCAGAGTCTGTAACTACATGGTAAATCCGAAGAACGCGCCGGTTTCATGCGCCATGTTCCAAACTTGTGCAGTGAGTCAAACATGAATTCTATCTAGCTTTGCTCATGAAGCTGATTTGTTGAGTCCCGTTTGATTTGCAAAGATTATAGTCTTGAACCCAGATGGCTCACCCACAACGGTCGATGGCGTGTAAGTCTTGAGCTGATCAATGTCGTGTGTGCCAGGCCTTTTGTCCAGAATCTGATTCAACAAATTGGCGACCTCTCCAGAATCCCTGCAAACGAGTTTCGGTTTGCTGTGGGGCAGAGCATCACAGACAATTGTGTTGCGGAGCCCAAGCTCCATTTTGTGAGTGAACCCCTGTGAATACGTCTCTTCGAGACCACCACTTAACTTACAAACAATCGCCCTGTTTCATAGCGTACAAAGCCACTTTCTGCTTACCCGGATATCATCCTGGGGCTACAGTGGCTCGACTCGCCCGGGGGATCTGCATCCGCTGAGCCCTGCGATGAAGCAACCTCGGCCAATTTTTCCTGAGCTCTTGACGTTTGGGCTCGCAACATGGGACTGTTTTCTTTCCAATTTCTGACTTGTTCCTGTTGGTTGAGCACTAGAAACTTCACACAATGGCAATAGTCCGTTGGTCTTTACAGTGTTAAATGAGCTACAACGAGCTACATATAGTTTGAATCATCTGTATCTTTCTCCAAAATATAGCTGTCCAACCAGGATATCTTTGTTGAAATTAATAAACCTGTTTGCTCAAAACATGACGAGTGGGATGTACAGCAGTAAGTTTAACAGAGAGGTGATACCTCATGATTGGATGGAGCACTCTGTTATTGTGGTACAGTTCCAAACAACCTTGAGCTCTTGAACCCAACCCAGATATGTAGGGGTGGAGTTTGATGAAAGGCATGCATATACATCATGGCTCATATTGGAAGGAAACGTGAAGAATCTCAGATTGTCATCAAAGGAATTTTTGAACTGTTGAAGCTTTTTGACAATTCACAATTGATATAGTTACACCTGCCATTTGGAGGAGTGAAAGTTGTTTATGAATAGGTGCACTAGCTTCGTGAGCATACCTCGGATGTTCCTGATAATTTGTTAATTCTTGATTGGTGTACTGATTGAGAACGGACGTTCAACTGTTGAAGTCGGCTGAGCGTGTTGATCACGTGACGAGTGAGATGTAAGCTGATCGAACAGTTCAAGAAAGAAACTCAACATTCTCATCCTACTTACAATCAAGGAAAACAAGAAAGAAACAAATCCACATCACTTTCTCCAAGGTTTGAAATTTAAAATGAGTAACGTAACTTCATTTTCCCTTGTTTGACTAGATACAACCGCTTTTCAGCTTGAGCTGATGTTCTCAATGTTTTGATATTACAGGAAGCATGGCTTTTTCTTTCAGGAGTCATCATGGCCGCAGTTTTATCTTTACAGCAGTATTCTACGTCGGCGTTCTTGTCAGAAAATACTATCGATCACTATCGATCATCCGACTGACCAGGTTGAACATGTCCTTCAAATCAGATTATCATGTTTTCAGATATAGAATGTCGGTATGCTCACTGATGTATTAGGGTGATGTAACTTCACGGCCATTCAAAAGCTGGTGTTGGTTCAACAATTCTGGATGCACTTGCCTTCATTCTCATCAGGCGATTACTTTTTCAGTTAATTGCTAAACTCATCAATGCGCCTCTGGTTGCATGGAACGTCAATAAGTTTAGTCAATTATCCTCTTCATTTTTCTCCCATCCGCAGAACTCGTTCCACTAGACTATGCGACTTACAATTATCATAATTCCTTCCTCTGTTGGAGAGTACTCAATAAAGATCACATGTATGATGCTACAGAGATCTTTCGGACATTGGGACAGCATAAGAAAAAGACTTTTTTCAAACTGGGGTTTCACCTGATCACCTCTTTTTATTCCTTTATCGGTGCGTAATTTTTCATTGTTTGCCTGCCTCCTCGTAGTCATTATGAGACGATCTGATGATATATGATCTACTTGCTATTCCACGACTTATGCACGATACCCCACATATGCACGTCATTTTCACATCATCCGATCTCTAAATCATTCCACATTGCTTATCAGCCTTCAAAACAAATCACACTGAACTATATGTAAACAGGATGATTGTGGCTTTAGTGGCAGACGAAGTATAAGGAGTTCAATGAAGTAAAATAAACAGATTGGCCTTCAATTCGCAACTTTGTTTTGAAGGCTTGTCTTGGTTCTGGCGACGTTCCCTTCAACTATCAATGTATCATCTTCTTACAGAGTCTCTATATAAAATAAGCATACCAAGTCTTTTCTTCTCGCCCGCGCCGCGAAGATGGATGCGAGGCCTGTTTCCTTTTTGTATATTCCCGAATCCTCGTTCAAGTATATACAGGCGGAACAATCCTGACATTTTGAATGATCATTGATCTCTTTGGACTTTCTGCTTGGGCTTGAATCTGCTAGGAATGTCCAGCGTGCATTTCTCACAGCCAACACATTGACCCTAGGTCCTCGAGTGCTTCTAAACAAAAGACGCCCAGATTATTCTCCATGGATTTCAATGGTTTGATACCGCGTCAACTTGATTAGGATCAAGGATCTCTTACAAAACAGAACTTTTCAGAAATGGCAAGTGCGGCTGAACATTAGGAGAAAAGCCACAAATATGCAAAGGGATCAAAAGGCATAAAGTCTTTGTCAAATGTAGTAACAAGCAAAGAAAATCTCCTGACAACAGGAAACTGGCTAAATGAGTGGATGAGATGATCTGATGGGTGGTAATACGTATAAGAATGAATGACATCATTGCGGTCAGTGATTCTGCCCGGGAAACGAAACCTGGCTCTAAGAATGTTAGCGTCAGCGTCAATCTAATCATGATTTTCTCAAGATAGAATATTCATATCAGAGACACTCACAAAGAGGGGAACGTAAGGGCGAAATTTTAGTGACCCTTTTCACACTGTTTTCCCCTGAGGCACTGGTTGTAACAGGTGCATGGTCGCTTTCGTGCAGCGTGTGGATTGACTGGCTTCGCGCAACTTCCAAATACCAAAGGGTCACATCTTTTCTGTAGTGGTACCGTTGCTGGTGGTCTTGAAACCACGAGGGTGAGGCTGATGAGTAAGATCAAAGTCACAATGTTCTTCATTATGATGTACTTGACGAGAGGTGTCGAAGGTTAATTGATGAGAGAAAGTCTTAGATTCTGGACAAGCCGGAAAAAAAAGAAATAGAGAATTACAGGGAAGAAACCATAAGAGAAAGGCTCAGCTGCAAGTCCACAACTCCCAGTTCCGCAAGACAGAGGTATATGATTGCGTACCTATAAGAGACCTATAGTCTTTAGCTCCGAGTTCCACAAGAGAAAGATGTGGAACCGGAGCTGATGCTGAGCGGCCGGCTCTTATAGCAGTCCAATTGGCCATGGCGTGAGAACAATCTTCAACAGAAACCTGTGTGGATTTTGTAAATCTCCGATTCGACATAAGCCATGTCACGAGAGTACACTAGGCTCCAATCATGACATGGGACCAATATCATTTTTTGCAACCTCGGAACTTCAAAAGGAGATACGGTCGCTCCGATCCTCGATGATATCAAAAACCTCGGCGCGATGTCTTGGATTTGGGTTCCGCGAAGGCTCTACAATTTAATTTTCCAAATCAGTGGAGTTCAGAGTTAGCTTGAACAAGCCCTCTCTGCGCGGCCACGTCCGCGCGCCTCGCAGAGGGGCTTGGGACTAATCGTGAGTTCCTGGCACGGAGACTCCACGAGTTAAGTCCACTTATGTAGTTTTTTGCTTTTCCCCGCTTTCCTCACTGATAAAAACAACTTTACCTTGCAGGAAAAGTTGTTCATATTTTTGTTCTACACATCCTCATAGCCTCATATTGTAGACAAACTATCTGATGCGGCCAGAGATGTGGCTTTAACATTCTTACAACACCCGCCTGTATTGTGGTCTGGTTTCAGTGCTTTTTGTACGCTAGTTTCTGCCTGCGCCAAACTCACCAAATGTTTTGCACATCCTTATGTTTAAATCACGTACGATGCAAATACAGGCTGTACATTCATTTACATATGGGACATAAGAGCTTGAAAACACAACTCATGACCAGGGTGATGAAGTAGTGATAACCAGGATATCATGATGGAAACACATGTAGAACAAAAATACGAACAACTTTTCCTGCAAGGTAAAGTCGTTTTTATCAGTGAGGAAAGCGGGAAACAGCGAAAAACTACATAAGTGGACTTAACTCGTGGAGTCTCCGTGCCAGGAACTCACGATTAGTCCCAAGCCCCTCTGCGAGGCGCGCGGACGTGGCCGCGCAGAGAGGGCTTGTTCAAGCTAAAGTTCAGAGTTGGCGTGTACAGTCGGTTCACATTCTATTGTGTTACGTAGAAAAGATGTCGGAGTGTAGACTTGACTGGATGCCGAAGGGTAGACTAAACAGGGAGCATCAGACAATAACTTAGCGGCTAACCGCTAACCGCTATCCCTGACACTTTTGTACACGCAACTTCCAAATCGAGACATCTTCTCACGCACTCAACCAAAGTAGATGTCACATATACATCTGGCGTTGACAACGCCTCATCATCCTTCCGGGACGAATTTAGCCCACAGGCCGAGACCAACATTCCGGGACAATATGCTCACCGACTCACCAAAGGACACTTGGGCAAAAAGCTCGGCAAACATCTCCAATACAAGCCATTCGCAAGGTGACCATATCGCCTTTCTCTCGAGCAATAAGAGAGGCGATGATCTTCAATCCAGGACACATACACCGTGTTTGTCTGATGTTTGCTTGTTGGCAAGCGCACGAGTTGCCTTTGTGCCTCAAAGGGAGTCCGTGTGCGCTCGTCCTTGAGAGACTGCCACATGGACACGGTGATATGCTCAAGGACAACAACTTCGCCTAATCCTAAGTAGGCAAGTAATGCCGCGGGTCAATGCCAGAGAAGCTTAAAGCTAAAGACTTCTGACCCATGCACCTGGCTTCCTTCGGGATGAGGATGTGGCCCTTTGCGAATATACAGCTGGAATGACTTGGAGCCGGTCGTTTTGGCATGCACGGGAAGGGGATGGACGAGCGGAGGTGGGTAGATCTAGATAGGGAAGGGAAGGGGATGGACAAGCGGAGGTGGGTAGATCTAGATAGGGAAGAGGTGTCACACAGATGCGTATTTAGGGAATTGGATTGTAGTACAGACAACTGTGGCGTAGATGTTAGCAGGGATTAGCCGCTAACGTATAGCGGCTACTGAATTGCACTCCCCTTCCAATATTCTGACTAAACACATCATCTTTTCAATCAGAGGAGCCACTAATCCTGAGAAATGTTGTTTACTGGAGTGACGTAATCATGGCTAATATTCCAAGCCATCTTGTTTGTGAAGCACAGATGCTTCTTTATCTTGTGAAGGCCAATGCCTCTCATGACCTAAGCCTCAAACGTCGAAAACGTCTCATGAGCTTTGGCGGATTCTGGGTCAAGTATGGTTTTAACCTATGGGGTTAGATGAAGAAGGGGGTGAACTTTGAAGCACGGTACCACATATTGGGATATGCATAGATTTCACACGTCAGCTGCCAGGTTTGTCAGGGTTTGTCTCACCAGCAGCAGTATGTATGCAGTCATGTGAAATTGTGGTAGCTCAATAATCAGCTGCCTGGGATTTTTTTAAAGTGTGATTGCTACAATGACACGGCACACTAATTATTATAAAACAATGTGATAAAAAAGGAAATATGTACAATCTTTTTCTAGTTATATCTGATACATTTGATACACCATCAACTAGCTTGGGAATGGTGCGCTCACATTCGCTTGACTCTCCGCACTTGCCAGTTTGCCTCCGCTTGGAATTCTCTGACCGAGGTGGGAAGGATGTAACAAATTCAAATATGTAGATGTATAATATATGTAAAACACTTTTCAAATGACTTAAAAGGATAAAACAAAACTACAGATTGATGGTCTTACCAAAGGAACGACTTACGACTTAGTTCCATGATACAGTTTTGCGGAGAGAGGGAAAACCCATAACCATAGGCAAAGTTTTCACATAGTGAATTTGGGAGTTGCATAAGCAAACCGAATTCCTCACTCTCTCAACACGTCACCAAAACTTCATCCATTCTCAAGGTGGAAATAACTGAATATTTCATTTTGATTCAACTTAAGTTTTAAAATTCCACCCACCCACCCAGCTGGGCGAGAGATCAACAGGCGTCAGCGGCAATTACACCGTGACGCAAAGCCTGCCGATCCCGCGCCCGGGCTCCCCCAAACACACCTCAACCTCAGCAGAAAATAGTGCCAAGGTTGAGAAAAATTTGTATTATAAGTAACAAACTTAGTAATACAACCTAAGTAAGAAAGTTTAAACCAAAGATAAGATTTGGTAGGAGGAACAACAACCTTTCTTACATATACCTTACCCAAGAAGTAAGGAACTGTGAGAATGTATTAAGATAGATAAGACTTGTTGATAAGAAACAGTTGTTAGACAAAAATTGGAATTGCATTGTTAAGGGAAAACATGTTAGATAATAGGATATGTATACATAGTGTCTTAAGTTGTGATTTCTTATGTTTTCTTTTTCAAATTATTAAAGTATTTGTCACCTTTGAAAATCTGAGTAAAATCTTGATTAGAGCTATGCTCTTTGAGACCCTAGACCAAGGCCCTTACAGTATAATTTGATCATTGAAAAAAATCTCTTTCTTAATTTGTTTTGTGTTTTTTCTTCTTTTTAGTTTTTTTTGCCAGTTTGTTAATTTTGTTTACATCTCGTTCCAATATCACTGTATATGATATTTTTTGGTTCTTTTGTATAGTTAGGCTGTTGATATTTGTGCATAATCTGTCTTTTCAGTCTTTTAGGAGGTTTATCTTACAGTTGTTGAACTCTGTGATTTGTT